GCTGATATGCAGGAGGAGGATAAGGAATTAATCATTGGTGGTACTTTACAGCAAAAGATTTCCTGCTGTCTCGATGAGCTTGATAAGTTTTTACTTCAAAATCGGCCGATTGTGAGCAGCATGGTCGTAGCTGAAAAAAAAGTGGGACGTCACGGATTGGGAAATCTTGTAGAAACAGTTGCTAATATTTTAGGTAGGCGTTCCTATCAAAATTTGTGCAGATTTGTTTTTTTTTTTTTTTTTTTTAAATACTTCTTATATTTGTTTGCTATATCTTATGTCTTATATTTGTTCTAGTTTAGAAGAAAGACATTATAGCATGTATAGATCGTTATAATTTTATATTTTATATTACAGACATAAGTGACATGAAGACTGTAAGCCTAAATTCGTCTCTGGCCGAACTTGGCATGGACTCCATGATGTCCGTGGAAATCAAACAAACTTTGGAACGAGAATTTGATATATTTCTTGCAACACAAGAGATACGAAATCTCACTTTTGCAAAACTCATTAAGATGTCCGTTGCAAACATCAGTGACGATGACGTAAATGATAAAAAGAAATTCGACATAGAGAAGTCAGACGTTATAAAAATTTTAGTTGGTATTATATTAAAAGATGAAGACTTTGTTTCCCAAAATGATTTTTTTATTAACAAACAGAATACTACGACTGAAGTATTTCTTATTCCGGGTATTGACGGTTGCGGTACTGTATTTAAAACCATAATACCACACATTAAATTTTCAACATGGTTATTGCATTATAGTACGAACAACATAGATTGTACAAACATGATAACGGAAACTACTAATCGTCTCACAAACGTATGCAATCGTATTAGTAACTTCATTTTATGATAAAGAATTGTTTTCGTTTAAAAAATATAAATTTCAAAAATTTGGATATTTTTACAGCAAATACTTCCAAAGCTAACAGATGGAAAAGATTTTGTAATGGTAGGATATTCCTTCGGATCTCTTATTGCAGTTGAAGTAACAAGGATATTAGAAGCTATGAATTTTAAAGGCCGACTTGTTCTCATTGACGGTGCTCCTGAGGTAGCACGAACAATGTTCAAACCTTTTGAATTTGATTTCGATGACGTAAATTTTCAAATTGATTTATTAACTAATATTCTGGAAAGCTATTCAATAGGAAGTTCTCAAAAGGTATATGCAACTTTTGGACTCACATTGAAACTAATATGTGGTATTATATATTCATATTATTTTTCGGTTTCTTTATGTAGATCAATATCAATTTCATCTTTGTCCAACAATTGCCCCGTCTCCCCCCCCCACTACTATGCCAAAATAAAAAAACTCATAGCTCAAAATTTGGAGCAATTCATGATCTTTCAAACCTCGAGAAAAAATTTTTTTGTTCTCGTCTAGGTTAGCAGAAATCTTAATTTAAAAGTGGAGGGGCTGAGTGGATGGCTTTTTAAAATTAGCAATGCCTCCCAGGCTAAAAATTAGGAGTCCTTTATGAATTTTTAATTAGTGCTGTTTTGATTTTCGAGCTCCATCCCTTATCTGCAAAACAAGAGCTGCAACTCCTTAGCAGAAAAATCACCTTTTTTACGCAAGAGAGAACTATGCTCCAAAAAGGAGATAAGAAATCATTTTATGATAAGAAATTATCTATTGATTTAGGAGCTGGCGAAATACGCACAAACCGTTTTTTAAGTTGCAATCTCTTAATAGGAAAATTATCCTTTGCCTTTTTCACGCAAGAAAGAAAGAAGAGAGAATAAAAAATCATCTGCTGATTTAGAATCTTGCGAAATACGGAATGTTTAAGCTCTAAACGATTGGCAAGAAAACAACCCTCTGCCCTTTTCACGCAGAAAGTAATTTTCTTTTAAAGAGTTGCAGCTGAAAAATCGGTTCGTGCGTATTTCGCGAGCTCCTAAATCAGCAGATAATTTCCCGTCATAAAATAATTTATTTTCCTATTTTGGAATATAGTTCTCTCTTGCATGAAAATAGCAAAGGGTGGTTTTCCTGCTAAGGGGTTGCAGCTCGAAAATTAATTTTTATTATATATTTTTGTACCAGATTTATGCCAGAATTATATTCATTAATGAAGTTTTAGATGCAGTCCTATTTTCGATGACTTATCTCTTTTAGTGTAGACTAGTTTTGGGATTGTTTTGGAGATAAAGGATGGAGCTCGAAAATCGAAAGAATACTGATTTAAGAGCTCCTTACAGAGCTGCTAATTCTGAGCCGAGGAGTGATTTCCTATTGTTAATTTAAAAGGGGGGGGACTGAGTAAACTTAGCCCCACCTTTTAATTAAAATTCCTGTTAAACGGGACGAACTCAACTTTTTTTTTGCGGGGTTTGGATGCTCATAAATTGCTCCAAATTCTAAGCTGCGTTTTTTATTTCAACATGGGGGGAGTGGGTACAGCTGGACAAGGGTATCAATTCCTTTGTTCTATCTTAGAGTCTTGTATATAAAAACAAAAATTTTTATATTTTCGCAGATTTTAATGGAATTGAAGAAATGTGAGAGTTGGGATGAAAGATTTAATATTTTCGCTAAAGAATTCTCAGTAATATATACATATCTCTCATTTGCAAATTTAAAGACATTGTGTACAACGATTTACAAACATTTCGTCGCTCTTCAGCAATATGATTCTTCTACATTGCCGCCTATTAAGTCTCCCATAATGTTGTTAAAATGTACGCATTCGTCAAATATGATTGCGATCGAAGAAGATTTTTGTTTGCATAAGGTATTTAAAAAATCTATGCTGTTTGATAAATTAAATTTAGCAAATTTTTTTGTTAATAAGTATGTAATTATTTAAGGTAACTCAAAATGTGGTAAAAGTACATTACATTGAAGGTGATCATGTGACAATCTTGAAGAATGAAAATGTAGCAGCTGCTATTAACGGAGAATTACCATTTACAATTTGATTAATCTATTCATAATTTCTTAGTCTATTTATAATTTGATTTTACAGAACAGATGAATAAAAGAATTTTTAAAGCTTTTTAAGGGGATCCTAAAGTGAAGCCCGAACTCCGATGAAGTTACCAGAAGTCACTATTTTGCAGCATATCGACATATCTTTTATATACTAGGGGAGATTGGGGGCAATTGTACTAATTTTTAGAAAAATACATATGTTTCTTTATTTATAACAAATATGTTTATTTCTTTTAACGTACATGATGCACAACAACTATTTAGATTTATTATACTATTTGCAAAAAAGGTGTAATTTTAGGCTATTTATGTAAAATATCAAAATCCGAATTAGTACATCCGATTTAGAATAAAATGAAACAGAGCTGAGAGAGAAAAAGTTGTGCCTTATATAATAAAAAAAAAAAACTTGAAATTTGAGTATTTACACTCAATTAAGAGTTATTTCAAACGCTCAACTTAAGCGTTGTCCTCAAGTTGAGAATTATTATTTATTCCACATAATTACTTAATTCAGTTTTATTGCTAAAATACATATTGTTGGTCTGCATCGTATTCCACACGACAAATTTATAATTGAAAAAAAAAAAAATGTTTTATTCTCTCATTTGAGAATTAATTTTCTTATTTTCTTGTGCCACCCATCCAATCTTGTACTCCATCCAACAATGCTTAACCTTTGTAATTGTACGGGAATTGCTACTTCGATGATCCACGAACTCTTAATATTAATTGATATATAGTTAACATATTTGGTTAATAGATATTGTCAAAAAAGTTGGCCGGAAATCGTTGTCATTTCGATGGCGAGTGCCATATAAAATTAAAAGAAGAAGATCAAAGAAAAGAAAAAAATTAATAATAACATTTTACTTCGAGATAAAATTATTTTATGAAGGGAAATGCATCACAATATCTAAACAAAAAAACTTTTGAGACGCACGTTACAAAGGCTGTAATTTTTAGTAGTCAATAATATAACATTATTTGTATAGCTATTGAATATTACAATTATAATTATAATTTGTATAGCTATTAAATAATATATATATGATTATTAATACTTGTTATCTATATTTTACTATTGTGTATTAAATTTACACATGTATATTTTATTTTGATTCTGCACTTTACTAAACCTAATAAAATAATGCAACATATATCATATTCTATCTCTCTCTTTATTTTTATTTTATCATCGTAATTGATAGCATCCTGATTGATAACATTCTATATTCATGTGATTAATTTTTTAGTCGCAATCATGCACGAATCAACTCAGAGTGAACTTTCAAGACGTTTTGATCAAAATTTGAAATACAGGATTGAAAATCTTTCTTTTTTTAAGAAACAAAATTGCATTTTTTTGTTAAAATGTGTTTTTAATGTTTTAAACATATTTTAAACAATATTTAAAAAGCATATTTGAAAAAAAAAGCATTGCTTTGTTCTTTAAAAAATACATAATTCATATTGACATGACGTAATTCATTCTCAGATATTCATTTTAAATATAAATGTTTTAAACATACTGTGTTGGTTTAGTCTAAAGATATAAACAAACTAAGGTCTGCAACGCATGAACGTATCAAAATGTCACACTTTTTCAAGGAATAAATTAAACCGTTATTTGGCTATAAGTGCTCTTGATATCTCAAAGAACAAAAATGCACTGGGCACAAACGACCAATTTATTTAAACAGCAAACAAATTTGACAATTAAATTTTGCAAGCTTTTTGCATTTACATACACATAGCAAAATTATCTTTTTCCGTAAAGATAATAAATATAAAATTGCACTTGTCGTATCTGGATTCACGTTACTGTAAAAACTCTTGAAAACAATCGACTATTATTAATAAAGTTAATAAAAATTGACAAGTTACCGAATAGTCAACTTTTGAATGGTTAATGTTCCACACTTTTTTGTTAACTTATTTAGGCTTTGTGAGAATTAAAAGATATTTTATGGTATCAATGCTCAATAAGTTAACAAAAAAAATGGAATGTAATTAAAAGTACATAGAATGATCTGATATCTGAAAAGAAGCCCTTTTTGGAGTTCGCTCTAACTCGAAGGAGAAAATATTGCTTCCGCGGAGCCTTACTTGTTTATAATAGCGCTGAACTAAATCTTAAATACGGGCTAATGCTCCGGCGCGTCGCTTTTATGTGGAAAGCTACATTTAATATCTTATTAAAAAATTTTTTACATTCTGTAAACAATATGATTTGCGTTTACAATAAATAGCCTTCTGCCTCAATAAATGCATGCCATTAATACATTATTCAGGCAGAACAACAAGTCATTAAAAAAATAGTTACGAAATGGTTCTTAAAAGTCAGTTTTGAAAGGCACGATTCATCTTAATATACTGTTTTTAATCATTTTGACCTATTGTCCTACTTAAGTATTGACCGCTATTTTATACATTATTCATATATAAATTGAAATTTTCATTTTCGAAACATGAAACTTCAATTCCACATACATGTATCCCGATAAGAATACTTTATATTCTCCTTGTCTTTTCCTTTCTCTCTCTCTCTCTCTCTCTCTCTCTCTCTCTCTCTCTCAAACGGAAATGCTTTAAATTACAGCATAGAAGCAAAAACTTAAAAAAACATACACTATCAGCCAAAAGTTTAGAATCATCTATAAAATTTAGAAATATTCTAGTGAATACTGTTAAAAAATACGATTTACCTCTTACTTAATATTTTTTCTTAATTTAAAGTAAATAGAAATTATATTAAGCATAATTATAATCTTATAGACATATTTATTAGGTGTACAAAAAAGTTCTGAGCTTTAGATTTGATACAACCGAAATAACAATTTAAATTTTATATATCTTCCCGCCCTTTTGGGGTTTTAAAACAGTAACATTTAACCTCCTGAAATGCGATACGGTTTGGCGTTTGATGCACATAACCTCAAAAATCAGTAGTGTTCACGATGGCAATTACAAAAGAGCATATTCGATTTTCCATCCACTTCGCGTTTCATCTGAAGAAAAATGCTGCTGAAGCCACTGAAATGATTTGTGCTGCATATGGAGAGAACGCTGTAAGTCATGCAACATGCAAAAGGTGGTATCAAAAGTTTCGCCAAGGAGATTTCAGTCTTAAAGATGAATCGCGTGCTGGACGCCCTGAAAAGATTGAAACGGACGAATTGCAAGCACTGCTGGATATAAACTCTGCGCAAACTGAAAAGGAGCTTGCAGAACAGCTTGGCGTTACGCAGCAAGCCATTTCCGTACGATTACATACGATGGGAAAGGTTCAGAACGATGGGAAAAGCTCAGAACTTTTTTGTACACCTAATAATATAATAATATAATATTATTTAATATTAAATAATATTTTAAACATATTTCCAGAATATTAAACGTAAAATTTGAAAAATATTTTACTGAAATTATATAATATTAAATAATATTCTTGAAATATTAATGGATGGTTATATGTCCACTCTTGATAATATTACATGATTATTAAAAGTAACATTATTTACTTTTACTGTAATATTATATGAACATTAAAAAGTATCATAACAACATTTACTTTAATTTGTAAAACTGTTACATCGGTTCAATTTAAATATATGTTTAAAGACTGAAAATAATTTTGGTGTGGAGTTGTAAGACTGGATAGGTACGTAAAATAACATCGAAACGTTATTTAAACACAAGACGCAGCATATATTGATAAGACATTTAACTGGATTGTGAATTTAAACTGCACTTTAATAAAAAAATAATTAATATTAATAAATATTTTAATAATATTTTAGGGATGTTAAAGGAAATATACCAAAGATATTTATGTTAAGCGGACATACATCCATAGAATACTCTCATAATATAAAATATTATACAATGTTCTCATATATTATAATAATTTATTTTAATTTTTTAATATTTATACAATATTCTAAGAATATTTTGCGCCTATCGGTAATTAACACAGCATTGTTTAATTTCAAGAAAATACATGGTCATAAAGACCTTCCTTCCATAGCTTCCTTTCATAACTTAGCTATGGACTATTTTTTAAGATAGACATTCTAATAAGAAACATTTTGGAACATTTCTGTAACATTGTAGCAATGTTATAATGTTGAAATGTTCCAAAATGTTTCTTATTTACTGGGATAATGTGTGTAGAGCGTGTTTCATTTGGAGTTTACAACATTTGCAAGCCTTTTTTATTTATCTTTGTTTAATACTTGATCAACAACAAGAAGGTAATGATTCCAAGAACGTTACAAATGTCAAGTGGAATGCAATCATAAAAATCTCTCATCGAAAAAAATAAAAATATACATGTAGCTAAATTGTTTAAATTAAATAGTAAAAAGAACTGACCAAATAAGGATAATTATTTTTACAAAAAAAATATATTTTATTTTTAACTGGTGAATGGCGTTGAAACCGTAAAATAATTAAATCGCTCAAAATATAATAATTAAATCACTTAAGATGTAAACAATTCTTGTCTGAACAGACCTTGCTTGGGTCACAGTATAGGTCAGACGGCGCGTAAGTTTCCCTGGTATAAACGTATGCAACACTAATAGTCGACGTTTTAATATTACAACAGTAGTCATTTGAGTTTATATAAAAAGTGCCTGTCGTTAAAAAGTTTAAACGCATTTCTTATCTGCAACTCAAACGATACTGCAGCAATATTATAAATATCAGAATCAGGTATATTGATTAGCATAAATAAAAAAAATAATCACATAAGATACACATAACATTTTTCTAGATTGTCTGAGAACATAATAAAAACCATGGATAGCAAAGAAGCATATAGATCGTGGAATGATATTGATTTCGGCGAGGAGATCGTTATATCTGGTATTGCTGGCAGATTTCCTGGTTCAGATAACATGAATCATTTACGAGAAAATTTATTCAATAAAATTGATCTCGTTAAAGCAGATCATGGCCGATGGGAAAATGGTAAAAATTCAAATTCATAGTTATACTTTTACATTTATATATGATTGGTTGAGATAGAATATACCGCTTCTTCTGTATCAAATGTAATTACATACTTATTCGTTAAAGAAGTGTACTCTAAACTAAAATTCCATCTAAAAAGATATAAAGAAGGAACATAATATCTTTATGTGAAAACATCTATCTT